TCTCTCCTCTCTCTCTCTCTCTTCTCTCCTCTCTCTCTCTCTCTTCTCTTCTCTCTCCTCTCTTCTCTCTCTCTCTCCTCTCTCTCTCTCTCTTCAGTGAAGTCCTGTAGTGTATGAAGCGTACCTTGTAAATGGCAGATCTATCCTGGCCTGTCGCATCCTGTCCTGGAGAGAGACCCTTCCTGCCCATCGCTTGGCATCTTTCGCCTCTGTCATGTATCTGGAGGGGGCAACAGACAAAGAAAGAAAGAGAGAGAGAGCGAGAGGGACGGGGAGACGAGGGAGAGCAAAACAGGAAGAGATTGTGTATATCGTGGCAGAGACCAGCAGAGGGAGCGTTGAGAGAACAATACAAAAAGTGTGGAAAGTAAAACGAGGATGAGCGGATGGGAAAAAAAAAGATGAAAGAGTCAACACAAAAGAGCTCAGGAAAACCTGCGAGCAGTTCCACCCTTGCATACTGCTCATGCGTCTTACCGCATTTCACCTGGGAGCACAGACACCAGACATACACAGCACAGAAACACAGAGACACACACACCAACCAGGTCACCCTCCTCTTTCCAAAACAGGGTAAAAGCTTTTCCTGCAGTCCAAATCACAGGGAGAAACACATACGTGCAAATGCAGAACCAGACTGACAACAACAGCCACAATCATCCACACACACACACACACACACACCACACATAAATTATACATGTCCTCAATCAGAGTTTGTCACAGCAATTCTGCATCTTAGCAGCCCCTGCTGTGACAAATTCTCCGCCTTTATCCTTTATTTATCCTTTTTTGTGTAAAACGTCTGCCTCGTTGTTCTATACTATAGGTTGACTATAAAATATATGACAGTTCGTATCAGCATGAAGGATGAGTAGAAGGACAACTTTTCTTTGAACAAATGACATTTCAGGGGCACACTTTGTTGAGTCAATAGTCATAACAAGGTATCTGTGGGTAACATAAGTTATTTTAAAAAAAGCTTTAAAACCACTGCATATAATTGAATTCAACACCAAATTCTGAGTACACATAAATAGAGAAAGAAAGAATTTAAAGAGCTTTTCCTAAATTGAATTAAAGTTCTACAGCTATAAATGTGTTTTATTGGGACATGAACAAAAGAAAAACCCATTAATTCCAAGTGAGTTCAGTGAATAAAGCAGATGCAATAAAAAACACTGAATACTTTCCTTCTAACCCTGTTTGCATTCATCTGTATGCATCTAAGAGTAGACATGCAGTGCAGAGAAAGCTCTGTGATAACTGTGTTTTGGGAGAAGAAAAGCATTGTTGGGCCTGAAATTTAGATGACTTTAATCTTGTTTTTGAACTTTTTGAGGACTGTAGAGACTCTATGCAAAGATTAAAATGTGTGCATAGATTGTGGAATAGTATATGAGTACCACTACTGGTGCTTGAGTAAATGTTATTAATAAATGTGTTGGGTTTTTTTTTGCTTTGGACGGTTGTTTGTAAAATGAAATGTGATACTGACCATCAGCACTACATTTTATTGTCTCCCAACCATCTCTATTGCCCATCTCTAACCCTACCCTTCATCTTTGTCTGAGTCTTTTTGCTTAATCCAAGCTTGGCATCATATCTCTGGACCCTCCTCCGGCCTAAACCACTTACCCGGGAGCAGATCTCATGCAGGCTGGTGGCGATGGCTTTGGCTGGCGTGTCACAGCGGAACACATGACATTTCAGGATCCTGGTGTTTTTATCCCGCGCCACATATGCAAAGTCCCTGGGAGAGAGGAAAACACAGGGTCAGTGAAGACACACAAAAGGAGAAAAACACCAGGGGGATGAAGATGAGGGAAGGGTTTGTTGGATTGGTTTCGCTACCACTTGGAGACAGATAAATAATGAAGTAGTAATGTCTGTTCATGATATGAGTGTGTTTGTGTGTGTGTGCCCAGTTTTGAGACTGACAGCTCTTGGAGACAGATGAGAGATGAACTGACCTTTAGCAGTCTGATGAATACAGGACACACACACACGTATATATACACACGCACACACACACACACACACAGACGCGCAGGTCGATGGACCCCAGAGATCAATAGAGCAGCGTGATGCAAGAGGGAGGTGAATGAGTGACAGCAGGGAAGAACTTTCCCCCTGGGCCCGCTGGAGCCGAAAACAATTTAAGTTTGCTGAATAGAAAGGATGAAAAGACGAAAGAAAGGAGACCGAGGGAGAAAGGAATGAAGACGTAGAATAAGAAGAAATATAGCCGCAGCAAATTAAACCAGTACAACACACACACACACACACGCTGATTTACGTCATTCAGAAATGCACATAAAACCGGTCTAAATAACTTCCTTCAAGCTGTGTGCTTCAATATGCCATGCAATAGGAAACACAGTCCTGAGGGCTAACAAGATTTCTGAGCCCAGCCCCTCGGGAGGGAAAACTCTCCACAAAAGATTCCTATTTGTGTGTGTGCGCATACTTAAAAAACAAATGCTTGTAGACAGAGAAGGACAGAGGAGGTCACCTTCAGTTCCTGCATCTGTGAGTGTGTGCGCACACAATGCCCCAGTACATCAAGAGCCACTTTGAACAGGAGAAAAATGAGACGCAGAGGAAATGAAACAATAAAGAATGACAGAGATGATGGAGAGATACTGTAAGAGGGTGGAGGGATGAAAGCAAGGAATGTGTTTACCTCTCTCTGTGTCCAAGGAAGCAAGGGAGGAAAGGAAGACAGTTAGTAAAATAAAAGAGAAAAAAAATCAAATTCATCGTACCAACCCCCTGCTGGGGGACAAGAGGCAAAGAGGTAGCAAACAGGCCCTCGTACACATACTATCACACTGAGTTACATACTCATCATCAGTCATCTTCTTTGCTTGACAAAACTATTTACCAAAAAAAAAACCAGCTTCAAGAGCAGTGTGTGTATGTGGGTTGAAGGCATGTAGCACAGGTCAGAGCAGCAATGCAGGTAATTTTTACTCATACTTAACCTTGAAAGTGAAAAAGAGAGGAGGGACAGATGAGAGTTGTTCTGGATGAGTGCAATTAGTTTTAATTGGATGCTGATCGGTTGTGTTTCCTCACAGAATAGGAAATAGGCTGGGAGTTTCTAAAAGTCACATAAAAAGAAGTTGCTAAGAGGGAGAACCAGAAGAGTAATGGATATAATGATAGAAAGGTGAAATAGTGGGAGAGGAAATTGGAAGTGAACTGCAACAATGTTCACGACAAAGATAAAAGCGTAAAGACGAGGGAAGAATAAAACACCCAGATGAGGAGAGAAGATAAAAGTCAGAGGAAAGACAGGGAGATGGAGGGAATGGGGGTGATATCTCATTTTGAATATAATCTTATCATCATGTCGACGCCCCTGAAAATGTCAAGGTTGCTGTGGGAATCTGTAATCTCAACGGCGATAATGAGTTTCATGGCACATGGGGAGAGGGGGAGCCACCGGGGCACCATTCCTTTACTGAAAAAAAAACAAAACACTCCAGTCTATCGCAAGGGTAGAAGAGTGTGTGTGTGTGTGTGTGTGTGTGTGTGTGATGAAGAGGGAGAGCAATAAAAGGGAAAATCTCTGCTCCAACCAGGTTATGAATTCCATAATATTTTATATCTTTAAACAAAACAGTCCAGCAACCCATAAATAATTAAAACAAAAACGTTATATTGGCAAAGATGTGCAGCAAATGCAGCTACTGGTATTTCTGTAGTGTTTAAAATACAAAAAAGGGAGTGAATTTTGGATGCACGTTTTCTAAAATAAAGAAAACAGTTTTAGTCTTGAACTACTACACATTTCATTGTTTGAAGCTTCTCAGCATTACAAACATTTGCCCTTTTTTAAAACAGCAGATTCAGAACAACATGACTCCTTTATCATGTATTATGTTTGTAGTTAGCCCCAGCCACCCTCATTTCACAACCCACTCGCAGGCAAACCACCACACAGGCACTCACGTCTGATTATTCCACTCCACCGGAGTTCCTGGAAAATTGTGACAAGCACACCTCACACTGGCTGTATCAAATCAACCCACAAACTACCTGCTCAGCAACAATCCCCCTACAGACTGAGGCCTGATCATTCATATCTGTAGCTTACATTTCTTGTCCTGCTTCTTTATAATAAAACAAAAAAGCTGGAGTGATGGTTCCAAAAGTAAGATAAAAGGTATATAAATATACTCACAGCGGTTTGTTTTCCTATTTTGGCAGGTAATCCTGTGTACGGGAGCGTCTTTACACTCACACCATCTATTCCTGGTGATGCTGCAGGCGTGCACACACACTCCTCAACCTGTCTGCTCCACACCCAGTGAGCACTAACCATACCTCCCCTTCTGGCAGCTTCATCCCCCTCTCTCCCTCTCTCCTGCCAAAAACCCCCTCTCTTCCTCTTCCTCCTCCTCCTCCCCCTCTAACCATCTCCTCTCCTCCTCCTCCTCCTCCTCCTCCCTCTGCTGCAGCCGAGGTATTCCCACTGCTCTGACTCTCCTACTATATGTAGATGTGGATGGTAGAAATAAAAGCTAAGTACTCGGAAAACTCGTTTGTTTTATCTGACAGGGTGATCTTACGTTATAAATAAAACTGTAACATACACCGCTGCATGTATGTGTGTGTGTGTGTGTGTGTGTGTGTGAATGAGAGAAGAGATTTCTGAGGCAATAATATTCTGCAGTTCTGCATATGCCAAGAGCTTTTAGCCTTGCCTCTTTTACTGAGTGTACTCGCGTATGTGCATACATGTGGCAGTTCGAATTATAGAGGAGCTACCGACCCATCCAGTCCACATCACCTTGCTGTGCCTGATAACCTACATTTGGTTTCTTCTCATGCATTCAGCAGCAGCACAGAGCGCCCTTTACTGGTCGATCAGTGGTATTACCACACTGTGTTTGTTTAAAGTTTAATTTTAACCTTCATACATGCAGCAAACATTGGTAAAGAACATTTGCTTTTACTTTTACTACACCTTCTGGAATGTCAAACCTTGTAGCTGCCCAGCGTAGATACGGGCCTACTGCTGGGTGTAAATTTGTCTTTTTTGTGAAGCCGGCTGTGCTGAGCTCCGCTGAGGTGAAAGCGAGGGGCAGATCACTCAGGCGGGGATTTGTGGTGAAATAGAATAAAGGCCATTCTCCCTCTCATCCTCTCCTTTGTACTGATGAATTAATCTTTCATTAGCATCCCTTCATCATCAATCATTAACTCCTCTCCTCTGCCTGTCACCACAGCACCCATCTGCTGCCCTCAATTGTTACCTTGACCTTTTACTGAGTATGTGTGATGCACCATTGACTTTATTTACACTGGTGACTAATCGATCAATTAAAGTATTTAAAAACTTAAACCTAAACAACAAAATCCTGTGAGTCAAGGCCCAGTTAAGTGGTTAATAACACTGGAATCTCTTAGACTATTTACACTACAGAAATGTTAAAGATTACTAAGAGGTAATGTATTCTGAGAAAATCACAACATGACATTTCAAGCAAAAGGGGATTAATCAATTTTTAAAGAAAAAAAAGAGCAATGTGACTAACCTGCCATTGTCCCGGCCAACGCCCCACACTCGGATACTTGTGATTGGCTGAGAGTGAAGCACACTGCGGTCCATGGGGTCAACCAGGTTCAACATATTATTCTCCAGCACTAGGTACATGTCCTTCCCCTGAATACACAAACACACACACAAATTCTTCAGATCTCATCACAAAAACATGCAATCCTTATTTCCTGAAGCTCAAGATGTTGCAAAAAAAAGTAGATCTTAAAGATGGTAGTGCTTTCTTTTACTTGCCTATAAAGTGTATTTGCCTGTGTGTGCGTGTAAGGGTGTGTGTCTCTAAATAAATTATCAGACCTTAAAAAGAGGGGTAGGGTGATGAAAGGTTATTGAAAAAGGGATGAAACTCTCCCCCTCTCTCTCTGTTCTGTCGTTTCACATTAAACACAAGCACCGCAGAGAGAAAGGGAAAGACTTCATAATGTTTCCTCTCTTTATTCTCCCCTCCTCCATCCATCTTTTGACATACATTTCATAAGGCCATTGCCCTGGCGAACGTCTACTGCTCTTTCTTTGCTCTGCCCTTACCTTTTGATTCATCTTCTTGGCTTTCTACAAGCACTCGTCCTCCCCAAATGCTTTATTTCCAACAACTACTCACCCAAAACAAAACACACCAACAGACAAATACAGTACCATATGACTACACTCTGCTCCTCACCTCTCCCCAGATGCCGACGGTGTCACGGATGTCATTCTTGCAGTAGGACAGCTGTCGGATGCAGTTGTTAACAGCAACACTGCTCTTCCCAGGAGCCAAGTCCTCCTCAGCCATCTCCACCCATCCCAGAGAGCGCACTGCAAAACACTGCAAAACACAGACACACCAGACGATGATGCTAATGACACTACAGTTCAGTACTTACAGACATATGACGACTTTTTGCACACGGACCAGTAGGTTTTTTTTTTAAGGCACTACTAAGGCATAAAGGTCTTTTTCTGAGGGTAAATCCAAACAATTTGAAATCTGCAAAGACGGAAACTTAGATAAACAGATGAGGACAACAAAACATGTTGGATAAGAAAAGCAGAGCCACCCATCCATCTGCCATCATCAAGTATTTATTTGATTTCAGCAGTCCATTCAGCAGTACTCTGTAGTACTTTGCACAGCAGAGAGACCCAAGATGTGAGACAGAGACACAGAGGTGGCAGACAGTAAACAAAGTGAGTCACTATCACATTAACCAGTGGCATAGCTTGTTGTAGAGAAACTCGTTCACATGTGGGTCAAATGTTCATATCTGTTGAAGTACATATAGGATGTTTGACTTGTGTGAGTAGTAAGAATAGTGCTACGGCAAACACACTCCAAGACACTATGTGTAAGTACTTCCCAGCAGGACAGACAGTACGATGACGTCTTCAACGTGGGGTTATTTATACTGCTGATTTGACACTGAGTGAGATTGACAAGTGTCTGTCTCACTTCTTCACTCACACACACATACACACAGTAAGCCACTACGGATCTCTCCAGGTTGCCGGGAGTCTGGTGAAAGTTGTGTAACAGTTCCAGACCTGCAGGTGGTAGCAGCTGTATGACACATAAACGGTCACACCCACCCGATAGCTTAATAGTATGTTTCTTAATAAGGAGTGTTGAATTGCAGCTGTGTGTCAGCTGATGTTATATGAACAGTTTTGTACACACTGATTAATAGAAATTGTTGTTGAGTGAGTTTTTGTTTGTTTTTAACTATCTTACTATAGAGAAAGGTACTGATCCAATCTTTATTCTACAGTGATCTATCTGCTGGAATGATGTGTGTGTGTGTGTCAGTGTGCTACTGGACCAGATGCCCTGACTGTAGGTCTGTGTTTGTGTCTGGTATTCATCACAATGTCACAGTTGCTAAGGACTGTGAATTTCTGCCAGGCAAATACAGAGGAAAACAGACACGAGACAGCCAGATCAGCACCACGTCATCAAGCTGAATGTTGGCTTTCAACTCTAATCTGCAATGCTTTAGATCCATTCAGCAATCTGTGAGAACGCCACACACACCTTGGTATGAATTTTAGCCTTCCTGCAATCTGCTGCAGTTTGTGAAAGAATGACCAGATCAGATAATTAATTCATTTATTGTTCTGTTTAATTAGTTGGAATCCAAATTAATTTATACCGTGGCCTGACATTTGCTGGCAACAGTATAAGTCAAATGGGCACGGCATTTTACTGAGTAGCTATCTTATTGAGCCATTAAAAAACCTGAAATGCCTCATTTGAATCTAAGCTTAGTAATCAATGCACCAATGTGCAGAACTGAACTGTACTTCTCAGTCTCACCACTTGGAGGCAGTACTGTATCACTTCACATTAAGATGAAAGCAAAGACTGCCACTGTGGTCAACATAAACACCACCAGTAAACAAACAGGCTTTGGACATCAACAGACTAAAACATACGCACGGTATCAAGGCAAGAAGCCATGGGTGCTGGGAATGTTGATTATATTCTACAGTGTTTAAAAGTATGTTGAGATAACATATAAATGTAGGTCTGGAGTAACTTTAGATCCTGCAGAAGATAACATTGCTCATGTGGAGGTATTCTGCCAGCCACAAAAACACATCTATAGTTTTTACAGTTTAAATAAAGGCAACACAAAGACGTACAAATGCACAAAAAAAATCAAAACTTTTAAACCATTTAGAAATGTTCTTGATGGATACATTACAATAGCCACATAACAATGTGAATTATAACTTAATCTGCCTTGTGTCTAAGACCACAGACATGCATCATGCAGGCATTGAACTGAAGCCAAGTTTAGAAAAAGGCGGCACGCCTTGGTAATCGAATTGTTGCCATGCACGCCACATAACTGCAACGACGCCGGTTGAATTCTACCCAGGGACCTTTGTTAGACGCCATAGCCCCCCACCCTCTCCCCTTGTTTCTTGTCTGCCCCTTATCTGTCAAGCTGTCCAATAAAGGCATAAATGCTCCAAAAGATTCTTTAAAATAAAGTTTAGGAAAAGGCTTATTACTTTTGCTTCTGGGTCGCTGTTAACACTGCTGGACTCCTCTTCTTCCGCTGCTGGACGGTTCCTGAAAAACAAAAAGTATTAAAAATACAGGATGTAGTTATATAATTAGCAGCATGGCATTATTACCATTGCAACCATTAACTGTTTTACTGAAAAGGTTCCTGTCCTGCATGTAAAGGCTACAGGCAGTCATTACACTAATAGAGAACATGGAGGTATTTCCTGTGTATAAGAACTAACTTCCTGCTTTGTCTGACCTCATTTAACTCTAACACTGATTAAACAAAAGATTAGAGAAACTAACTGGACAGACAGACTGAGATGTAGCTGAGTATTGAGACAAGGAATGAAAATGCGCTTGATAACTAACAACAACTCTCTTGGCTTGCAGAGATTTGTGCACAGAGGTAGTTTGTGTGTGCGTGTGTGTACAGGTATTGCACCTTAGCTTGAGTGACGCGTAGCGAAGCGTAGCACCCTCAAACTCCTTCAGACTGGGATCAGGGTTCACTGTGGCAGCCTGCAGGTCCTGGTGCACACAGGTGACATCATCAGAGTGTGCAAAATAAACCCCACATCTTTGGCCAAAAGGCAAACACCTTAAAGCCCCATTTACACATATAACCTGTAATATTGTCGGGGTTTGGCAGTGGCTTTAATCATTCACACATAGGTGTTCTATATGAAGAAAAACTCACTTAAGTCTGATCCCACGGGATAACAATTCCAGATAAGAGCCACGCTGTGTCCAATACTTGGTTTTATTTTGAGGAACTTTACAGTTGAGGTAATGTAGTTGTAAGTGATTCAGATGTATTTTGACAACCTTTTATTAATGCAAGATGATATCAAATTCATAGCTTCAACATAGCTTGTGAATGTAATTGGAATCCATTTTCTTCCTACTGCTTCCAACTATTAGATAGAACTCTTACGTTGTGTAAGACCAACATAGAGTACATTTTGAACTCCTTAAGGAATTGGATGCTTTTCCCTTGAATGAACAAACACATTGGCTCATATTCCGACACCAATATGTATTTCTGTCATTCCCGGGTTACAGGGCGTGTGGGATAAGGGCTAATAAGACACAAACCTGGCAGAAAACAAATGTAAATATTTTAGACTCCACACAATGTATGCCAGCATGCATCCAAGTGTGGGCAGAATGCTGGATGGAGAAATGGCATTGGTGTGTTACGTGTAATGGAGCATGCTGCATCAAGGAGAGAAAGTTAACATGTAGAATGTACACACACTTGTGTGTACAAACACATTCAGATCTGTGCCAACAGGAAGGAAAAATAACAATATTTTAGGCACACAAGTAAAGAAAGGAACAATCTGTCGAGTGTGTTGCTGCAGCCAAATAACAGAGATGACACAATGCTGTGGTTGGTGCAGTTACATTTATGTGGAAGCATCAGCCACACATGCTTTTGCAAAGGCAGTGAATTTCTAGCACAGGATGCATAAACGCACACACTCAAAGAGTGGGTGAGGATAGACCAAGAACAAGACTCATTGACGCTGAGTGCATTATACTTGCCTTCCACACTTCACTATCAATCTTTCCGCCAAAATCACTCCACACCTGTTTCTACATATAGCATTAAAAACACACATGTACACACACAGTGGTGGGGCAAAGATTGGGGGTCAAAGGTGGGAGGGGAGCGAGGGAAGAAAGACAGAACAAGGCTGTTAGCTAACTAGCTCACTCCACACAGAGTGCCTGTTGCAATAAGGAGCGACCCAGCAAAAATGAACGTGGAAAGAAAAGTTGTCAATGGAGATTTTAAAATGTTTTCTCAAATGTTTCTTGCTCCTATTGAACATTCACTTCCCTACTGAGAATCTACTGATTCTTGATTAGTAGAATATGAACAATACAGGCATAGAGTAGAGTCAGAGCTTATTTGGACAGTGGTTTTTCTGTTGTTTTCCATCTTAACTGCAGAATGACATTCAGCTTGCAATTCCAATCCAATTACATGACAAGTCAGCAAAAAAGATAAACAGCTAAGTGGACGTGGTGTGATATTGCACACAATATTATTGCACACAAACTGTTGTAATGTTGTTAGTCTTTTATTGCCCTTGTCTCCTGTGTGCATAGGTAACCTCACAGTGATATTTTTATTTCAAACCGGAGCCAAACCAAATAAAAACATGTCACTGTCCAAATACTTGCTGCACTGTATGTGATACAAGTAGACATACATATACAGTAATATAAACACACACACTTTTACATAGAAAAAGAAAGATATTGACCTCAACTCAAGGTTATTGGGCCATAGCAGAAGAAAAGATTGGTGTGTGAGGAAGGGAAGAGAACGTGGGAAAGTGTTGAAGTGTCCTACCTTGTCCTCATCTTCGTGATGCTGAGTGCGACACTCTTGATCAGGCACCCCCTGTAGAGATGTGGAACGAGGCTACGGAGAGAAAGAGGGAGAGAGATAAAGCATTAAAAAAAAGACTAAAATCTCTATAGTAAGAATTCAGAGGATTTGTTACTTCACCATTTTTGTCTGTCTGCCATTTTGGCTCTTGTGTCACTGGCTAATATTTGAGTAGTCTGCAGGTAAGTCGCTCCAGATAGATGTGCCAGATTGAGGTTCTGGCACATCTATCTGTCAACATCAGTCTATTCTCACTGAATCAATATTTTATCTACACCATGCTCCTCTCTATCAATCCCCCTTTCCTCTCGCCGTTTCCCCTCCATCATTCTGCATGATGGACTGATTGATAGACTCAGTGTTCTCTCCGTCTCACTCTCTGTACCCGGCTGTCTTGTTGCATATTTCTGCCAATCTCAGTCCAGACTACCGAAAACCAGATACACAATTTGACAAATACATTGCCCTGTAACAAAATGTACAGAATACCACAGACAGTAAATACAATGAAACAAAAAAGGTTTTTGTTGGTAACTCACAAAGTAGCAGCTGTTGACGAATCCACATGTGGTGATGGTGGGCTCGTGAGTGGAGAGCGGCTCCACTGAGCTGTCAGAGGTGGTGCTGCCCGAACGAGTTGACGCCCTGAAGAAGATCTCTGCCTGGCACGACTGCATGCACACACACACACACAAAAGCACAATTATGAAAAACTGCTGTTTAATACATCTTCATTGTTACTGACTCTTCACACATATTAGTGGCTAGTCTGGGATCAAGAAAATGGCTAAATTCCATTATTGAGGCCACAGCTGGAATTATACTTTCCGCGTCAGTAAGAGAGGGTTGTTTATCAAAGGTTAT